CTGAGTCACATACCTAGCCATTTTTATTTTATTTTATTTTTATTTTTATTTTGAGACAAGGTCTCTCTAAGTTGCTAAGGCTGGCCTTGAACTTGGGATCCTCCTGCCTCAGCCTCCCAAGCTGCTGGGATTGCAAGCATGCACCACTACACTTGGCTCATACACAGTCTTTAACATTTTATGAACATTTCCTTCTTTTCTTAGTTCATTGAGAGTTTTTATCATGAAAGTATGTTGAATTTTGTCAAATGCTTTTTCTGCATCAATCGAGAAGACCATGCAGAATTTTCCTTCCTTCTGCTTATGTGGTGTCTTACGTGTGTTAGTTTTTATCTGTTGGACATCTTGCATTCCAGAAGGAATCTTCTTTGGTTATGATGTCTCTTCTGTCATGTGCATTTAAGTTCTTTGCACTAGTATGTTGATGATTTTTGCATCAGTGTTCATAAGGGATATTGGTCCATAGTTTTCTTTTTTTGTGGTGTCTTTGTTTGACTCTGGTATCAGGGTAATCCTGGCCTCATTGTATGAGTTAGGAAGAATTCTCTCTACTTCAATTTTTTGGAAGGGTTGGAGAAAGACTGGTGTTAATCCTCCTTTAAATATTTAGTACACTTACCAGCAAAACTACTTGGTCCAGGACTTTTCCTATTGTTTATAGTGCTAGGGAAAGAACCCAGGACAGGTTAGGCAAGAGTCTACCCTTGAGCAATACCTCTCACCCTTTGTGAGAGGTCTTTGAATCTCAAAATAAAAAGGATCAGGAATGTAGCTCAATGGTAGAATGTCCCTGGGTTCTTTCCCCATCACTGCAGAAACCAAAAACAAACAAACAAACAAACAAACAAACAAAAAACCCCACTCATTTTGTGGCTTAACATATGGTCTATTTTGGAGAATATTCTATATGTGTACTTTACGAACATATGTATTCTGCTTTATGGACTATTTGGTGTGTGTTTTATATATCCATTTGATTTGTAATGTTGTTCATGCCCTCTGTTTCTTTATTGCTCTTCCATTTAGTTTATATATTATTAAAACTGGAGTATTGAAATTATCAACTATTATTGTCAATTTACTATTTATTCAATTCTGTCAATGTTTGCTTCATATATATTRGATTCTGGTACTTGGTGTTTGTAAGTGTTATTTCCGTATTAGTCTGTTTTCTGTTGCTAAAACAGAACTCCTGTGGCTTGATAATTTATAAAGAAATTAGGTTTGTTTCACTCACCATTTTAGAGGTTCAAGAGCATGTTGCCAACATCTGCTCAGCTCTGGTGAGGGGCCCCTTAGATCTAAAGTAAATCTATCRTAAACAGCATATAGTTGGACCATGTTTTTTAATCCAATCTGCCAACTAACTTTTTTTCCCTATGACTTTGGGGAAATTAAGTAATTACTTACAGGCAATCAGTTCTTTCTTTTCTTTCTTTTCATGAATGAAGATCTTCATGTTTAGTTGGTTTTTCTTTTTTCTTTTTTCCTGTGCTAGGCACTCATTTCCTTTTGTGTATGCCGTATAGATACATTTCGTGGTCACCATGTAGATTTCACATAACATTCTAAACCCATAAGAATTCAGTTTGAGTTAATACCAACTTAATTTCAATCACACATGAAGGCTCTATTCCTGTAAAGCTCTATGTTCTTCTCCATTTTATCATAYGATGTCACAGTTTACCTCTTTCTGTATTGTATACCCAATGACATTGATTTATGATCATTTTAATTCATTGTCTTTAAGTCTTGTATTTAAGAAGTGGAGTTACAAACCAAAATTATAATAAAAACTCGCTTTTATGTCTGCCTATGGGTCGACCCCAATGAAGGACTTTTTATCTTCAACTAATTTCAAGTTACTCTCTGAAGGACTTCTGTTGGCATTCCTTACAGAGCAGCTCTCGTGGTGATGAATTCCCTCTTTTCTTTCTTCTTCAGTTCTGGGGATCCAACCCAGGGCCTCATCTGCACTAAGCAGGGGCTTCACCACTGAGCTACACCCTCGGCCCCTTCCCTCAGCTCTTGTTTACCTGAGAATTTAATTTCTTCTTAATTTTTGGAGGCTAGCCTTATTGGGAGTAGAATTCTTGGTCCATACTTTGTTCTTTTGTTCTTTTAGCACTTTAAATACCAATTCCTGCTGGCCTCCAAGATTTCTGCTGTGCAATTGGCTGGTAATTTTTCAGCAGTTTGCTTCTGTGTCTCAGAGTAGGTCTCCTTGAGCTGATCCTACTCGGGATCTTCTGAACTCCTTGGATTTTTAGATTCATGTCTTCAAGTTTGGGAAGTTGTGGCCATTTGTCTTCAAATAATCTCTCTGTTTTTTCTCCTCCTTTGTCTTAAYGTCTGTAAATGTTGGTCTGCTTGATGGGACCCCAGAAATCCTGAGGCTCTCTTCACTGTTCTTCATTCTTTTTTTTTTCCTTTTGGTCCTCAGAATTGATGATTTAAAATGTTGTCACCAATTCTTTCTTCTACCTGCTGAAATCGGCTCTCAAATCCTTGAGCTGAATCTATCACGTCCATTATTGTATTTTTCAGCTCCAGAATTTCCCCTTGGTTCCTGTTTGTGATTTCTATCTCTTTGTTGACATTCTAATATTGTTATGTGGCATTTCCTGGATTTCATTTCATTTTCTGTGTTTTCCTTTAGGTTTTTGAGCATACTGTCGTTTTAAAGCTCTTAGTGTACCAAGTCTGATATCTGGGCCTACCTAGGGGATGATTTCCATCAATTAATTTTATCTCTTTGAACCGAGTGTTTTGCCATTTGGTTTTCTGTTTTTAGTTTTTAAATTAAAAAAAATATATATATTTCTTGTTGGTGATTTTGTTGTTATTGGATACTGGGCATTCGAGGGGAGACATGGCCCCTTCTCCCCATGATGGCTGGCAGTTTGTAGGGGCCTTCCTCAGTTCTCTGGTCTCCGTCTGAGCCTAGGGATTGGTGGACATGGAAGCTCTCTGGCCTTTTTCAAYTTTATTTTGAGATAGAGTCTTTCTAGATCACTGAGGCTGGCCTCGAATTTGCCCTCATCCTGCTTTGGCCTCCCAGACAGGTGGGATCACAGGCACGTACYGCTATGCCTGGCTTATTTCACCAGTGCAAAAGTGTACACATCAGTTGTTTTCAGATTATGTGCAACTAATCACACAATTTTAGAACATGTTCATTGCCTCCAAAGAAAACCCCATACCTTTTAGCCATCATCCCCAAACCTCTCATCATCTCCTGCCCCCACCCAAAGCTTTAGCAGCTGCTGGTCTGTTTTCTAACTCTACATATTTGCCCATTTTGGACATTTCAGGGCAGCAGGATCATATCTAGGGCGTCTTCCCTTCACCCTCGCTTACCCCACCCCCTTACCCTGGCTGTAGAAGGCACAGGACATCAAGAGGAGCAGGAGCAGGCAGACCCCTGGACAGGTCCCAAGCTGGCGTTGTACCCTGTGGCTGCAATGTCAGGACTAGGGGAAGGACCCGAAGCTATTGGCCATAAAACAAAGTGTCCCAGGACTCAGGCACCAGATGGGAGGTAGTCAGAATGAGCAAGGAAAGAAAGGAAGTGTTCAAGGACCAGAGCGAAGGTGGGAGTAGCCGGAGAGCAGGAGTGAGAGGGGGTTGCCATCAGAGGGCACGGATGCTGGGATTTCAGAGCTGAGTCAGTTCATAGTGATGACTGTGTCCAAAAAGAGCGTCCATAGGGAAGGACATCAGAGGGGAGGGGAGGGCGGAGTTGGATGAGGCCAACTCACAGAGGCAGGAGATAGATCAGGTRGGGGGGCTGCGGGGACAGTAACTGCTAATGACTACAGGACTTCTTTGGGGTGATGGAAATGTTCCGTAGTTAGTGGGGATGGCTGCCCAATTCTGTTAATACACTAAAGCCCTCTGAATTGGACATGTTCAGAGAGACTTTTATGGGTGTGATTTTTATCCTGATTGATAGTTTTATTAAGAATGAAAGAAAGGCCCGGCACAGTGGCGCAAGCCTGTAATCCCAGTGACTCAGGCGGCTGAGGCAGGAGGATCGCAAGTTCAAAGCCAGTTTCAGAATGTAGCAACGTGCTAAGAAACTCAGTGAGATCCTGTCTCTAATAAAATACAAAATAGGGCTGGGGATGTGGCTCAGTGGTTGAGTGCCCCTGAGTTCAATTCCCAGTAACCCCCCACTCCCCCCAAAAAATGAAAGAAAAAATACTAAGGGGGAACTAGTTCACTACAGTTCAGGTATGATGGCAAAACCAGACCTGGTTGTGAAGTGAAATTACAAAAATGTCATGGTAAGAAACCAAAGCCCGGGAAGGGATCAGTTCTCCCCTTTCACAGCCTTTCTCCAGGGAGCCTGACTGACCATGGGTCTGTAGATAACTTCCCCTGGGAGTCCTACTCTCCCCTTTGAAACGTAAATGCACCTGTCAGAGGAGCCAGTTCTTCCCCTTATCACACTCTTCTTCTGTAAACATGCTTCTGTCCAGAGAAACCCCCGAGCACAACCTTGTATCAGGCAGACTAGAAAATTTATGACACCAAATAGCCTGTCAATGTCTGAGAAACTGGATGGAGCTCAGGATTTGGAGTTTCGTTTTCCTCTGGGTCCGCAGGGTTAAATCAAGTTCCGAGTTCTCCTCCTCTCTGAGTGCTGCTCTCTGCTCGGCAGCCAGTCGGTTTCCTGCAGCTCAGGGAGCCCAGAGGGCATAGCGGAAAGGTTAGGGAGGAAAGAGGGAAAGTGAGTCTGGGCAGGGAGAGGAGGTGAGCTGGGCCGGGGTGGGAGGGGTCAGGCTCAGCAGGACAGGAGGGATGAGGTGGGGTTCCAGAGCATAATCCAACAGGTCCCAGTGGTGGGAGGGACCATGGCAGCTCAGGAAGTCTACCTGGCCCAGAGATGGTGCCTGGAGGCGGCCCCAGTCCAGGTGACTGAAGAGGGGGGCGGGGCACTCAGGGAGCCAACCCTGGGAGATTCCAGGAGCCAGGCAGGAGTCTCCTCTGCTGCTGGGGACAGGGAGCTGGACTCCCCAGGCTTGAACCTGGCCCCCAGATCTTGCACTTCAAGTAGGAAGCCCCGTCCTGTGAATCCCCCAGGGAAAGATCGGGTTTGAAAAAGCCCAGAACCACCGCCTCCTGTCAGATTCTCTGTAGGAAAACAAGCCAGAGAAGGTTAGATAAATAAGCAAAGGGATCCAGGGCCGGGGGCCAGGCTGAGTGACTAGCTTCCCACCGATGTTGCTGGAGAGCTGTGAGCTGTTAAGTGAAAATAAGGACTATCAGAAACAGAAATAGCAAGCTGGTCATGCGCTGAGACACGTGTTTTGCTGAGCATCTGTACACTCGAGGCGTGGAGCATGGAATGCTAGACAGACTTGGCACTGCCCCCAGAGGCTGCTCGGCTGAGGTCTGCGTGGGGGTGGGGCTACCACTAAGCAAATAAGTACCGAGAACTTCATCGCTTATTGGAAAYGTAGGAAGGATAAGGTAAGGAGAGGGGAGCTCTGGTTGTGTCTCACAGGAATGTCATCGAGCCTGGGGTCAGAGCAAGTTTCACTGAGGAAATGACCCCAGAGGGGATGGGCTGTGGGGGATGGTGCCTACAAAGGCCCTGGCACAAGGAGGAGCTCCAAGGACCAGCTGGAGTTAACCTGCCAGAGGGGGAAGGTGGAGACGGCTAGAGAGGCAGGAAGAGCCAGACTGTGCAGGGCATTGTGGGCCACTTGGAGGATTCTGAGCCTTATCCCATGGGAAAGGAAAGCAGGAAACTTAGGGTGTAAGTGGGAGGACCTTGAAGCAGCAGCAGGGGACAGTGGAGCAGAGCAGTTAAGAGCATGAACTCTGGAGTCAGATGCCTAGGTTCAAATCCCAGGTCTGCCACCTATAGTCTGTGCAACCAAAGTTAGGTAAACTAACCTCTCTGTGCCTCGGTCTACTGCCTTATAAAACAGGGTGGCTATGTATCATACCTACTTTATAGGGTTATAGCATGAAGATTGAATGATTAAAGTGTCTGGCACACAGAGTGAGGAGGAATCACTGTCATAAGTGGGCTTGACAGGAGCGACCCTGGCTGGGGATGCTCCCTCATCTCCAGGCAGACATTCTGTCCGGGCTAAGAGCTATTGGCACCCAGGAGAGTTCTAGCTTCTGTAGTGGCTGCCACTTTGAAGACCAGGGTCTCTTGGCCTTGGTGACCATTCTTCTTGCATTGTCCTCTGGTTCTGACCATCCTGTGAGCTGCAGGAGGCTGGGGACGTCACTCAGCACACACCCTCCAGCTCAGCAGGTGACCAGGTGAACGGGTGGCTGACTGGCTGGGTCTGTGACACACCTGGACTCGATGAGGGGGCTTCTGTTGGACCCTTTCCACCGGGGGGAGTCAGCTCCCCGCAGCTGTAGGAGCCTGGGGATGGAGGACCGCGTTTACTCTGCAGCCCCAAAGGCGGGCTCTTTGCTGGAGGTTGGGATCCTGGAAGCAGGAACTGAACCAGGAGGCAGGAAGCAGTCGCTCTAGAGCCTGAGCGGCATGCCCTCGAGCGACGATCTCACGTTCTTACCAAAGCTCCTGATGATGGGGCCATTTCTTTCACTTGCTCTGAAAGGGATGAGTGGTAGCTCCCGGCTGGGCTGGCGGAGCACCATCCTGCCACGGGAAGGGCTGCTGGGGAGAACTGGGCTCTGGCCCCACAGGCTCCCCCCCAGCCCCACCCAGCCCTGCTGTGGCCTGTTCCTGAGAGGAGGCAGGGTCGCCCGGGAGCCCCTTCTCCCCACACGGTGCTGGGGAGGTGCTGCCTGAGCCCAGCCTCCTCTAGAGACTATTATTTTGGGAGAGTGCTGAGCTCAGCACAGCTGCAAGTGCAGCCAGACACAGGCACCCTCTGTCCCCAGCTGGCCTTTCGGAGCTGGCCTGGGGTGAGAAGCCCTCCCCCTCCCGGTGCAGCAGCCCCTCCTACACAGGGTCACCCTGTCCAACCGTGTCCACCTTCAGATGGCCCAGAGGCTCTTCAGGTGGTGGAGGAACCGAGGGACAGGCAAAGCAGCGTGGTCTGTGGGGACGCAGCCCAGCCAAGCCACAGTCCCTGCCCCCAGCCCCAAGCCTGAGCTGCCAGCCCCCAGGGCCCAGGCCAGAGCCGAACCTGGGGACTCTGTAAGCACTCCTCACAGTGGGCTCTCTGGCCTGGTAGCCAGGACRAGAGTGACAACAAAGCCAGCCCTGCCAGGGGCGGAACCTTGGTCAGGACTGCAAACAGCCCAGCTTGGGGCAGGGCCAGGTCCTCCCAAGGTGCTGTCCATCYGGGTGGAGGATTAGCAGCTGGGGCCCAGCCAGTGTGGGTGGGGCTGTTCCCAGAGCTCTGCCCTGCAGGTGGCCCTGGGGTGGGGGCCGTGGGAACAGAGCCCCTGCAGAGGGTCCTGCTGCTCTAGTGGCTCTTTGTGTTCCAGGTGCCCCACGTTGGACCATGAAGCTGGCCACAGCAGCCCTGTTGCTGGGTCTCGTCGTGATGGTGGCGGCTAGAGAGGAGGAGGAAGAAAACGACCCGTGTGTGTACGAGAACCTGCCCTACGAGGACACCGGCCTGTGCAAGTAAGCGGCGGGCGGCGGGGCCAGGCCACCAGGACAGGGCAGCACTGAGTCCAGGCTCTGTCCTCCCTTCCAGAGGACTGGAAGTGCCGCTGTTCCCTCAGGGGCCTTGGCAGCTGGCCTCACCCTCCCCTGGAATCAGAAGGGCTTTGTGGGTCCCGTGGGGTGTCTGGGCCTTATCCCAGGAGAAGAGTCACACAGGGAACACGGGAGCCTCAGGGGAGGACCACAGAGCAGTGACAGGGGACAGTGCCTCAGAGAAAGGCCCCCTCCTTGCAGCCCAGAGGGTCCCTCCCAGGCGCCACTCCCGGCCAAGTGGGCACGTTGAGGGAAAATGGCATCAGGCAGAAGGCACGTGATCGGCCCCCAGCGAGAGATGTTTTCTGTAACGGGCCACAGGTGTGTTTGGCCAGGGACCCCGCTTTGGGGCGTGGGACCCCAGATGGAGCTTCGGCCCTTCCCAGGACATGGATTTCTCCCACTCTGGGTCTCACCGGGAGCTGCAGCTCAGCCCTCCTTACTGGATCTGTGATGAGAAAAGTGAATGTCTATTTCCCCACACTCCTGGGTCCCCCTGGGGGCTCCCCGGGGCCATTTTGATGCCATGCCCTGTGGGGTCTGGTGGCTGAGGAAGGCACCCACCCAGGAATGGGGAGGGGGAGAGAGCACTGTGATTCCCTACTCCTCTTTGATGCCTTTGAATTTTCATCACCATTTAGAACCATCTATAAATCTTCACCCTTAAAAAGTGATACAGTTGAATCCTAAAAAAGAAAAAAAAAAAGTATGATCACACATATTTTGGTCATCTTAGCACATTTAAAAAAACCTTCCTAAACACCACTGCATGGACTTTCTGTGGGAGAAAGGAGAGAAATGAGGCTGCCTCCCTCTCACATGGGAGCTCGAGTTCCAGTTTCTTGGGCGACCTGCAGAGTGGCCCCAGGGACAGCAGGCTTCTGTGCACACAAGGTCCAACCCCCCATCTGCTGAGGGGTCTGCTGACCAGGCAAGGCAGGACCAGGCTAGGATCATGGCCCCCTTGTTTCCCACACCCTGGAACACAAAAGAGATGGTAACATCTGCATGTCCCCTGGAGGTGGCCAGCTGGGGGTGGGCCCAGGTCCTTTGATCTTCCCTGCTCCCTGATGACCCGTTTGCCTGCTACACCATGAGGCACCTGCTATGTCAGACAGACACTGTGCCAGCTCGTGGGCTCCTGGACGTGCTTGACTGTCTCAGTTAACATACACGGAAGGAGTCACCCTCCCCACTTTGCAGAAAGAAGCAGGGACAGAGGAATCCGTATGCAGCTTGGGAGAGGCAGAGGCCCCTTCCACCCCTGACCCCTCCCTGACTCTCTGCTCCTGCTCTTCCCCCTCCTATCTCTGGTGCTCCAACTGGAATAAAGGGGGCTCATTCTCAGGGCTCTGGGAAGATGCCCACCACCCCCAGTTTGAAAACCATGGACTTAAAACACTGAGGGTGAATGCTGGGAAAATTATAAGCCACCTGTGCAAAGAGGAAGCCCTGTCCTCGTCACTGCTTGGAGACGGTGATCCGTAAGAGAGGACGATGGGAATGAAGATGCTTCACGGTGGCCCCCAGGAGAGAGCAGCACCTCCCACCTGGGCCCCTGCTCAAGAGCCCTCTCAACCAGGCTTCTGACCTCGACAAGGGACCCTGCCCCTGTCACAGGTATTTGGAGCCTAACAGGGAATTCTGCAAGGCAGGACTCAGTACCTGATGGCAGTGATCTATAAAGGAGGAGGTTTATGCTGAGTGACAAGCCATGAGAAAGCACCATGAAGAGAACAGTATTTTAGGAAGAAGAGCTTGGGGACGTCAGGACCTGGACTCAGTCTCAGAATCCAAACAACCGCGGTGGCCCCACCCCACACCCAGTGGGTGGATCCCTCCCCGGCTCCCCGGCTGCTGTACCCAAAAGCCTTGGTGAACCCCACAAGTAATGGCAGCTGACGCCTAGATGTTCCCTGAAGAGCCCTGCCCCCTGGTCTCCAGGCTTGGGGGCTCTTCTTTGACGTCAGCCCGTTGTTTCCAGTTCTGACCCAGAGGCTGCACAGAACAAGTAGGTGCTTCCTGCGGGTCTTTCTCTTTGGAGCTGGACACCATGTACCCCTGTCCATCCAGCTCTTCACCCCACCTTCACTCCAGCCCTCAGTGCCTCCCAGGGGCCAAGGTTCTCAGCCTCCACTTTCAGGATGGGATAGTGGGGGATGGGCCACTGTCACATCAAGGACCATGCGTGGTGTTGGGGGCACCCACCAGAGCCCCCGCATGCCTCCGGAAGACAGCCTCATGTCCCCTGGGCCTTCTTGTCACCCTTGCCGTCCGTCCATCCAGCTGCTCTAACAACGGAGCCTTAGACTGGGAAACTGATCAACAATGGAAACTTATTGCTCACAGGCTGGAGACTGGTGAATACAAGACCAAGGCGCCAGCGGATTTGGCGACTGGAGAGGGCCATTCTCTTCCTCAAGATGGCACCTTCTTCTGTCCCCAAGTGGCATAAAGGAAGGGCAGCTTCCTTTAACTTCTTTTATAAGGACACCAATCCCTCCTCATAAGAGTGACTTGGTCACCCACTAAGGCCCCACCTCTTGTTCCTCTCACACGGGGGATTGAAGAGATGAGTCTGGGTGTGGCAGGGGACACCAGCCTTCCAACCAGGGCCCTCGTTTTGGGCAGGTGAGATTCTGAGCCCCTTCCACTGGTTCTGCTGGAAAGCCACATTTCTCCAACCCAATCCTTACCGTGACAAAGAGCTGGGAGTGCTCCTCTAGCTCACGCGGTGCCCCAGCTCGGGAAGCCACATGGTGCAGGGAAAAGTGCCCTCGATGGTTCCCCCCAAACTTAGCAGCTGTAAGTGTCTCAGCCTCCACTTCTCTGGCCGAGGCTCAGCGGGCGCCACTGGCTCAGGGTCTCTCAGGAGGCTGCGTCTGGGATTCCGAAGTCTCATCTGAGGGACCGACTGGTGGGGTGGGACGCTCTGTCCCCCAAGCTCACTCAGCTGGTTGTACACGTTGATCCCCCRTCATGTGGCGTCCTCACAAGACCAACACCCCACTCCAGGAAGGATCAGAGAGAGAGAGAGCGARAGCGAGAGCGCGAGCAAGCTTGTGAGAGAGGGATCCCAAGGAGAAGCCAGTCTACCGACATAATCTTGGAAAAGAGTGCACATCGCTTGTGCCATATTTTCTTCRTTAGACATAAGTCCACTAGGTCCAGCCCACTCTCAGGGGCAGGGACTACACAGGGTGCAAATAGCAGGACGTGGGGCCCTTGGGCCCTCCTAGAGACCACCCACCACCTTTCCCTTCCCCCCCTTGGCTCACCAACCATGCGACCCTTGTGAATTACTTCTCTTTCTATGGGCCTCGGTCTACCAGTCTGGGAGATGAGAATAATCATCATCGCTTGGAAGCGTCACTGTGTCARGTACAATAAGCACACAAGATGCACGTGATGAAGGGGCGTGGCCCAAAAGTCCCATTCCCTTTTCTCGAGGTCCCTGATGCAGTCCTAGCTGATGGCAAAGGGAGGGCCCTATTCTCTTGGGTGCCTCTAGGCCTTGTCAAGGGGACCAGGAGAGTCCCCATATCTCAGGATGGAAATTGGAACATTTATCTGAGGTAAACCACAGGTAGCAAGGGCACCTGAGACGGTGGCCCCTTCAGGGTGGTTGCACATACTGCAGTCACTACTGCAAATGTATTTGTGGTGCTGGGGATTGAACCCAGGGCCTTGTGCATGTGAGGCAAACACTCTACCAACTGAGCTATCCCCAGCCCAATATCCCAAGCTTTTGATAAAGCGACTAAATGGCACAGAGGCCTGCCTGTGCTCCTTGGCACATCCTCCGATGTGGAACAACATGTCCTCTTCATTGCTGGTTGGCAGCACCCCCACAGATGTGATGGGCAGGGTCAGAAACACAAATCTAATTCTTGGTCACTGGGCATGGCATGTTCCCTATCCCATCAGGACACTCTCTAGCCTCAGGCCCATCATCAATTTGCTGATTTCATGTTTGTTTGTTTGTTTGTTTATGGTCTTGGGGTTCAACTCAGGGATGCTCCACCACTGAGCCTCGTCCCCAGCCCTTTCTAGTTTTCATTTTGAGACAGGGTCTCCTAAATGGCCCAAGCTAGCCTCGAATTTCAAAATCCTCCTCCCTCAGCCTCCTGAGTTGCTGGGATTACAGGCCTGCGCCCCTACTCCTGGCTACTGATTTTGTTTAACGATGTTAACACGTGCRGCAATTTTACTGGGATTAAGAGGGGAGAAGGGCTACCTCCCACTCACCTCTTCCCTGTTGGGTCAGTTTTTCCCAAGTCTGTGCTATGTGTTGATGGTCCCTCTGTCCATGGAGGGTCCCTTCCACCTGCCTCACAYCTTGCTGGCTCCAGGGATCAGGAGCTGCAGCAGAAATATCCAGATGATCCCTAAAAGGCTGTAATGAAGATATGGAGAACCTATCCCCTAAGACTCCAAAAGCTGCAGACGCCATGCCATCCAAAAGGAATTGCTGCAAAGGAGCCAAGAGTCAGCCTAAATAATGAACAACCACGGCCTTGGCCCGTCGAAGCAGCCTGCATCCACACCTGCTGGGCTCAGCTGCCTCTGCCCTCCGTCACCGCTGGTCACCTCTGGATCCACTGGGAAGGTGGGAGGCAGACAGTGGAAGAGTGGGACAGGGTTCCCCACCAGGAAGCTGGCCTCGCTCTCCTCCCGGTCCCAGCCCCTGGAGCTCTTTCTCCAGGCCTGTTCCCCAAATTATATTCTGGGTGCCCCAGTGAGAGGCATCACCCCCAACAAGGCACAGTGGACAGCAGTGCCACTGTCCAGCTGGGCAGCAGCTCAGCCACACTGGGCTGCTGGAAAAGGTGGGGGACCAGGGACACCTACCTACTCTGTACCTCCCCCAAGAGGAGACCCAGGTCTTGGTGCAAAAACTAGCACAAGGGTAAGGAAGAAGGACAAGTTAAAAAAAAATGGTACCAACATTTTAAAAAAATATCTATTTGAAATCTGGCTTAGATTTCTGGGTTCAAGTGTAGGTGAGTCGCAAGGCCAGGCAGGAGAAGCCACAAATCAGTCACGTCTGTCCTAAGCTGCTGCTGCTCTTYGTTCTGCATCGTATTTTCTTCCTTTTGGGAAGTCAGATGCTCAGAATCTCTGAGCCATTCAGGTTCTTCTTCCCAGGAAGAAAATAAGTAGATGGTCTCTGAGTGATGGGATGTTTTATCCACTGAGAGACATTTCATTTTGAAAGTCTGGGTGATGCTTCGCCTGAAGACACGGGTTATTTAAGAAATGGTGGGAGTTTTAGACATGGGGAGTTCTTGATTGTTTAGGAGAGAGGGAAGGTCTTTGTCCATGAAAGAGGCTGGGCTGAATTGCTGAACCTTTCTCTCTGAACTAAGAACATTCCTGAAGAGCAGTGCATATTGTCCTTATAAACCCAGTCCTATTTTAAATTCACTGGCCAAGTTTGCCTGAGGATGTACAGTTGGCCCTCTGTATCCATGGGTTCTGTATCCATGGATTCAGCCAACCACAGATCGAAAATATTTGGAAAAGAATTGCATCTGCACTGAACATGTGCTGATGCTTTTTTTGGTGATCATTCCCTAGACAATACAGTGTAACAACTATTTGCACAACATTTACATTGTATTAGATGTAAGTAATCTGGAGGCGACACAAAGTATGGAGGTTACATGCAAATATTACACTGTTTTAGGGTGTAAGATATTTAACATTTTACAGGTTCTGTGCATAGGTTATATGCAGATATCACACCATTTTATATAAGGGCTTGTGCATCCAAGGATTTTGGTGTCCATGGAAGGTCCTAGAATCTATCCCCAAAGGATACCAAGAGATGACTGCAGATTCTTCTTGGGGGTAGACGCTGAGGATGGTCAGTTCCTCTGAGCACTCAGCTKTGCTGGACTCTGCTGTAAATGCCAACACTATCTAACTTTTCCCACCAGCCCTGTGAGGCAGGTTCTATTAGTATCCCCTTTTACAGGTGAGGGGACTGAGGCACAAAGAGGCCAAGTGACTCTTGGGATCACTCAGCTAGTTAGTGGCAGATTTGGGATTTAAACCCACTTGATTTTACCTTCCAATAATGTTAGCCTGCAGCCTCATGGACCCCTAGGACCCTGACATGGTGTGACCACTTCCCTCTCTCCATAGGGGCCTTGATGTTTTCTACCCAGAGGTGGGAAATGTCGCCTGCATGTTTATTCCTGACTGCAACAACTTCAGGCATAAGATCACCGACTGGATGGAGCCGATCGTCAAGTTCCCCGGAGCCCTTGAAGTGAGTGAGTTGGGCTGGCTGCAGGGGGTCTGGGGGTCTTGACTTCTTCCTGAGCTCCCTCTGCTGGGGACTTGAAGCCACATGCAGAGCCATCAGGGTTGGGTCTGCTGGTACCAGAAGGCTGTTGCTATGAGGCTGTGCCTTCCCTATAGTGGCCCGGTGGCCTAGGGACAGAGTGGGGTGGGGAGGCCTGCAGACTGGACCCTTGGCAGTGCCGTGCATCTTGATGCTTGGTTGTCACAGTAGGAGACAGGCTCTTCTTGTGCCCAGTCACCTGAAGTAGAAGATGAAAGTGTTTTAGGAATTGCAAGTGATTATTTCTTATTTCTTTCCCTGGGGAGTGATCAGTCCCATCCCTTTGTGGAAGCTTCCCTGGGCTTGGAGCTCTGGTGAGCCTGGGGAAGGGCCGTGGAAGTGGGAAGTGGGGCTGTGGCTCCCAGCGGTCACCCCATGTCCCCGGGGAGGCTGCTCCGGTCTTCTGAGCAATTTCTTTCTCTCTCGACTCTGGGCTCACCTCTTGCTCTCTGCTGTTTTGCTAGTGTCAACAGGGACACAAGGACTATGATGTGGCCAGGACACAGGTCACTAACAGGATGAGACACAGGGATTGTGGCTAGGATGTGATTGTCATTTCTATGCAATGTGCTGGGAAGCACAAGGGTTGCTTCCTCTCTCCTGGTGCAGCCTGGCGGCCCCACACTCCCCTGGTCAGGCCTGACAGTGGCCAAGCCAAGCACAGCAAGGAGCAAGCTGGAGAGAGCAGCGTCACATGGTTGAGGCGTCTTTGTTTGTCCAAGTGTTTGTCACTATCAGGGAACTAGTATGTTTCACAGCTTATGTGGCTAATGTCAAGAAGCTTCGCTGATGGGTCCTGTTGGCAACTGTGACGAATGTCCTTTTCCTCTGGAAGGCTGAGCAAGCAGGCACACACATGCACACACACACCTGCACACACATCGTCCCTCCTCCCTAGAGACCCTCAACCAGGCCACACCGTGGACAACCAAGAGGAGCACAGAACAGAAGGCTGCTGTGCTTCTAGCTCCTGGGACAGGGTGGAGGGCCATCAAAGCAGGACAGGTACCCAGTTCCTTAGGGACAAGTATATGCTCTCCAATGGGACAGGACTCATGACTCTCCCATTAATTCCCTTGTCCTGGGGTTTTCACTTGCAGGGCCCCAGGAGGTCAGGCTAGATCCTTTCCCAATGATATCCCAGGAGGACAATCTCCCATGCTCCAGTCCCTGAGCGGCTGTTGCCCAATATGTCCACTAGATGGCAGTGTAGACTTTTCTAGCTCCTGGAGTCCCTCCTGGGAGGGATTTGAAGACCGCTGGGGAAGTCCTGGGTTTGGGGTTTTGAGGATGGGATTGTCCCGAGGTATGGACACAACAGAGAAGATACTGCATCTGTCACACCCTGAAATGAAATCTTTCACTGTCAAAAAACCCATCCTGTCTCAGCCCAGGGCTAGGTGGGGCAGAAAACTGGTCTAGAGTTATGGAAGACAGAGGGCTGTGTCAGAGAGAGCCCAGGAGAATCAAGACTTTGTGAAGGAAGGTTTGGTTGAAGCCGTGGGCAGACAGAAAAAGTAGTATCCTACTCCCACAGCACTATGGTTTACAGAAACGTAACAGACCAGGAGAAGGCAAAGTCGATGACCAAAAGCTGCCCTCCATAGAGTGCTATTTAGACTGGTTGTTATTCATGTTGTCATTTCACTCAATTCTCTTATCAAGTCTGCAAGCTAAGTATTTCTTTAGTCAAGATTGTTAGTGGCAAGTGACAAAAAGCCAACTCAAACCGGCTGAAGTCAAAAGAAAGGGGAGAATTTGCTAATAAAAAACTAAACAAACAAAAAAACCCTCCAGACATAACTTCAGGTCTGGTTGGAGCTAGGTGCTCTAACTATGTCACAGGGCTCTTTCCATCCATCTCTTGACTCTGCTTTTCTCTCTGCTATTTTTACTTATAAATAGACTCTTTCCTGCGATGACAAAAATGGCCCCAACAGCCTCAGGCTTAAGTTTGACCAGTTTATCAATCCCAGTGGGAAAAGATGGATTCTTTCCAACCATTGAAAGTCCCAGGATCTGTCCTGCTTGGATCACATGCCCACCCCTAAACCAAATGGTGACTCTGGGCAGCCCCAGGAGAGTAGAGCAGAAGAGGGCCATTCTGCCGCAGGAGCACCAGGTGCTGCCTGTGCGAAGGGTCAGGCGGGGAAGCAGCAGTTCCGGTGGAAGTAAGGGGCCTGCCGGGGCAGTGCTGGACAGCGGCCTGCCCAGCTCCAGAGCCCACGGGCCTGAGTATGGACCCTGCAAGGTCCGCTGAAGCCCAGCAGAGCTGGCAGAGCTGGGGGCTTGCTGGAGGGAAGCCTCCCCTAGTCAGTGTGGGAGGGGGATGGAGGACAGTCGCTGCTAAGGAACCTGGGGCTGGAGCTTCCTCAAGGGCTCCAGGGGACAAACCTGCCCTTAGAGAGGACGCAGGTGCACCCTGGGAACAGGGTCCCTCAAAAATGGGACAGGAGAGGGGAGGAACCCCAGTCCTCCAGAGAAGGAGGAAGCCATTTCCTCAGGGCCCTGGCCTGAGGGAGGAAGGCAAGAGTGGGTGACTGGCTAAACGGGTCAGCGCCTTGTTTCCAAGGTGATTAAAACAGCGCCACCAAGGCCTCAACTGCCAGCGGACAGGCCGAGGGTGCACCCCAAGCAAGGCCCGAGGCCCTGGCAGGAGGGGTGCAGTGGGCGTGGGTCAGCCTCCATGCCCTGGCCCAGGCTGCTCACCCACATGTGGGCCCTTCTCCCATCCCGAATCCTCCTCCTCCTCCTCCAGGACCCCTTTGCTGACTGCCCCTCTCTGGGCCTGGCCCCCACCCCTGGCTGATGGCTTCTGGCTAAGACTCTTCAGTGTCTCCTGCCCACTAAACAGGGTGTTGGCTTTTTTCTGCCTGCCCATTCATGTCCTGCCATTGCCCATTCGTGTCCCTCACAGCTGCAACCACTTTGTAAACACTAGGAGATCCAGGAGGCCACGTGCGGCATTTCCTGGAATCACCCACAGCTCCTGCCAGCATCGCAGGTCCCATGCTGGGCCACAGGGCGAGTGAGTGCACCGATGAGTGAATGGATGGTGGGAAGAATGGACAAGTGAGTGGCAGGTAGAAGGACCCCTCCCAGAGTGCAAGCCCCAGCTGGGTAAGCCCCAGGGTTTGTTGTTTGAGCTTCCAGGAGTCCTGGGCATGTGCAGGAAAGCTGCTGAGCCCAGTGGACCACAGACAGCAGCACAGAGGTGGAGATGGGGTTGGAAAGGAGAACCAGGGAGGGAAAGAGAGGGGGGGGGGKGGTGTTGGGAGCAGAGCCCGCAAAGTCATGCTTCTTGAGCACCGTGGCTGGGAGCTGAGAGCTGCGGAAGTAAGTGGAAGCTTTTCTCCTCCTGAGCGCTGACAAACATTAAGAGGCCAACATTTTAAATGCATCCCGTCCTTAAAGCCAATGAAAACTGAAAGGACCCTGCGAAGTGTCTTGACTGGGGCTTATTCTTCACCTTAAATCTAACCAGCTGGAATCCTTTTGAAGGGAAGAAATTGCCGTTAAGTGGGGAACGTGCACGCATTAGAGGGAAGGAACAAAAGCCACAGCGCTCTGTCCTGCTGTCCTTCAAGTTTCTAATCAGGCGCCAGAAAGCAGGTGTCCCTGCGCGTCCCAGGCTGGGCAAGTGCATCTCCCGCCCCGGCTGCAGCTGCGCGTGTTGCTGCCCCCTAGCGGCGATACAAATTTCAACACCAAATCGGGAGCAGAGGAGGCGCCCAGGTCCTCCGCTGGGCAAGCGCTGGGCAAGCGCTCTACCAGTGAGCTACAGGGTTTCACTAAGTTGCCCAGGCTGCCCTGAGTATGTGATCCCCCTGCCTCCTCTTGAGTAGCTGGTATTACAGGGTGCACGCCAGCCACCTCTTAAACACCAATTTTTAGAGGCTGGAGATATGGAGCCCTGCCTACAGGGTGGGGAGTCACAGGCTCCTCTCTGCAGCAGACCCCAAGCTCACCAGACAAGCAGGAAAGTGAGGGCTGCTGCTGCTGCTGCCACAGAATAATGGACCCTGTCAGGACACTGGGCTTCCAATGCCCATGGTGGTTTCAGTAGAGCAGCCCCTGGTGGCCGTAGCAGACCCCTGGGCTGGGGGCAGGTCTTCCTTGCAGAGGGCGAGAGTGATACCTGTGGCCCTCAAAGGCAGGTGTTTGCTTAGGGCACTGCAGTCACAAATGACTTGGCATCACTCACGCTGGCACCACACGCCTGGCCCCCTGGACACACTGTCAATCCAAGGATAAAAGACCCCATTACAGAGTTTCCAGGATGCTGGGGGGAGAGACAGGTAGCTGGCAAACAGAGAGTCACAGGGTGTCCATGAGCCAGCACCTGGCAAGGGACAGGCACACAGGGGTCAGGATGGCTAGGGGAGGGATGAGGCTTGGGAGAGGGCAGGGACACACCACAAGGATGACAGAAAGCTGGGTGGGCCCCAGCGTGGTGCATGGATTGTAACTGAAGTCAGGTGGGTGGGGGTGGGGTCACCATGGGATGGTTAGACTGGTGAAGGTCACCTGGCAGCAGGTGGAAGAATGGAGAGAAGGTGAGCTTGAAGGCAGGAACGTGAAGTGGGGTAAGAGATGTTAGAGAGGTGGAATCCATCGGGCTGTGGGTCTGTGGGGGCCAGGGTTTCTGGGATGGGTGGGTGAGGGTGAGATGGAGCATATAATCTATCATCCCAAACAAGACCCTGTGAGGGTCAGGCGGGGGTGCTGTTCATAATTATACCAGGATAAAGGGTGTCTCTGGGCACATGGGGTCCATGTGCACTACAAGCTGTAGTGGACATGGACCCCAATGATCCTGAGAATGGTGCCTTCATCAAGCAAGGGAAGCAGGGGCCAGCAGCCAGCAGCAGAGCCGTCTATACACACCAGGTCACTGTGCACACCCAGAGTGGCACAGTTGGAGG